AAAATATATATATATATATATATATATATATATATATTACACTTTTTATTATTTTTCTTAGAGTTAATCACCTATACATTACCAGTGTAAACTTTTTTTACACTGACAATCAATCATATATTTTAATAATGTCATGTCAGTTACTTATTTAATGAAATAATAATAAAATAAATAATTTTAAAAGAAATGATTGGTTGTTAGTGTAAAAAACTTTACACTAACATTGTATAGATGATTAACTTTTCTTATATATATTTTGTCACTCAATTTTTAAAGTTATATATTTTGTTACTTCATTATTCAAAAATTATATTTTTATCACTTTATTTATTAACCATTTAATATTATTAATTCATCATTAATGTGATGTGTCAAACACTTATATAACATGTTAATTATCAACAAAAAAGTTATTGATGTAATATATGTGATAAATTTATAATCAACAAAATATGTCATGATAATTGTTAAGTATGAAAAAAATAAAATTTACAAAGTTTTAAGAATTGAGTAACAAAATTTGAAAAACCTAAAAAAAGGTGACAAAAAGGATATAATTAGGAAAAAAGAGTTTTCTTTATTATTATTTTTGTATAAATATGTAAACTAAATTTATAAAAAAGCTTTGTTAAAATTTAATTAATTTCACGATTTAATTTGATAAATCTCATACTCTGTATGGTTATGTCCTTTATAGCTAAAATTCTATAATACAATAGAAATCTATATTAAGAAGAAAAAAGAAATCGAATATTACATGCAATTAATACATAACGTTCTACTTCATATATATAGTAATTTTATATGTACTGTAACGTGACGCTGTAAATTGTTTTGCACGTGATGTTACACTGTAAACGAAAATAATTATCAAAATTCTAAATCTATAAACCAGTTATAATCCGACATATAAAATTTACAACAATAAAAGATAAATGGTTTATTCTTTGATGATATTTTATATATTTAACCGAAGAGTTAAAATAGTCTAATTCTTATTTATAAAATTTTAAGTTCAAATTTTACATTCATCATTATAATTTTTATAGATAAAATAAAAATAGTCTAATATTGTCACCGTAAATGTTCGAATGTATTTTATAATAAATGCTTGACACAGCAAGGGTAAATTTTTATTTTCCTCTTTCTCATAAATGTAACAAAATTTATTTATTTTTAATTAATTTTAGTCATAAAGATTTTTTTTAATAATCCTTATTATCTACATTGCTGTACAAAAATTCCATATTATTATTTAATGATAACGTAACATGCATTTAAACAAGTTTCCTCATATGCATTTTTAGGCCTCATAAGTCATAATGATTGCTTACATGTCACATTATAATTAAATAGTGAAATAGATTGTTTTAAAAAAATGAAATTTATATAAACTAAAACTAATAAAAGTTTTCTTCGAGCACTAAAATTCAAATTTACTATATTTACAAATATTAAAGACATATGAATATTAATATTATTTAAATAATTATATATTTTCCTTTTCTTTTTTCTAAATAATAAAAAAGAAATCTTAATCTTTTGTTTCTAACCTTTTTCTTTACATCCCAATAATAATAAAAAAATTGTTTTCTTTACTTTCATTCCTTAAGAGAATTGTCACACTACTCTGATTCACTTCAAGCTTTTTTTAGTCTTTATTTAAGACAACCACATCTATATTACAGTAGCTCATGAATGAATGCTACTTGATGTTTGTTTACAAATAAATATATTAAAAAAAAACAGCAATTCTTGGACTAATTTATGGGTATATATACATTGAAGTCGATGGGTTTATTTTTTGAGAAGCATTTGAGAAGTTCGTGGACTAATTTTTGGGTATATTGAAGTCAATGGACTTGATTATTGGGTGACAGGGTAGTGCTAAAATGAAGCAAGGATCCCACCAATGCACAGTTTATTATTATTATTATTTATTTTTTAATACAGTTGATTCAAATGAAATACACACTAATCATTATACTAAAGTAATTAAAGTATTAATGCATTAAATCAAGTTTGGATTTTAAAGTGGATTACGTTATATATTATAATTGTTTATTATATTTGATGATTTATAATCGAGATGAGAACACTACTAATCAATATCAAATAGGACATGTACCAAAATAAAATATATTGAATATGATAATTTAAATTTAAATTTTCAAAAAAAATTAAGAATCGTGCATAAAATAAATTTAAGAGATGAATCAAAGAATCATGTACAAAGTTGAAAAGGCTTAAATATATATATATATATA